AGGAAAAAGTAACTTATAGCTTATAGCGGCAGAACAGGTTGGAAGATGGCTGTTTGATGTTATTTATTGTTTTAAATCATCCCACAGGCTCTGACGTTAGATAAATTTGAAAATGAGGTTTTTAAAATATCCGTAAGACTTGAAAAAATCCATGAGATTGCTCTATACGTCCGTATACCTGCAAAATGATGTAAAATCCTTATAACTTACAGACAATCTGTACAAGTTGACATGTACGAGTGGCTAGACATGAATATTTTTTTGTTTTAACCCTGGCACATCTTAATAATAACTCTGAGGCAGGGTCACATCAGTCCAGCTGCTAGATAGAAAATCATGAAATATCATACTGTTGCTTTAAAACGTATTTTTATTCAAATGATCATATGCACTGAGCGTGGGTGTACTTTGTCTGTGTGTGGGGGCTGAGCCTGGGCAGCACACAGTCTGCATGGTTAATTGGACTTTCAGATATAGTATGTGGATTTTCACGTGAATAAAAACATGTTTTTTTTTTGTTGGAGCACATAAATGACAAAACTATTTTCTATTTAGGCTTTTTAAAACTACGGATTTTATATTAAAGATGTTTTAACTGCGGCTGCAATGCAGCTTACCATCAGTGTGTGAATGTCTGTAGTTTAAAATGTTAGCTGTATGGGACCATCCAGCAGTGTGACGCTGAAGACGAGAGGACAGGACACAGACTGGTGAGTTACCACAGTTCTCTAGATTCCAGAAAGCAGGCTGGAATTGGGCCTTAACAGCAAATGCAAACATGCAGAATCCTGAATTGAACTGAAGCCAACCTTAAAGTGCAAAAAGGCCATCAATAATTCAAATTTATTCAAATAATTGAACTAATGCCTTTAGAAGTTAATCTCAGTGGAGATGTTTTCAATGCCCATTCAGCCCTGTGATAATTTAGCATCATCTGTTTGCAATAGATTTTTCAGGACAGAAGTCTGAAAAGAACATTTGTTGTAGAAAATCTGTTTGAATGAATGAGAATTCTTTTCTTCTTTTACTCCTGGACACTTTAGGTCCTGCAAGCAGGTTCTTGTGTCCTTCCCTAGATCTGACGACACAATTTTGTCTTAAAAGTCTGCAGAAAATCCCCTTAATGTGGTTCAGTTTTTGTGAGATGTACTTGTACATGTTGCTGAGTGACTGGACTCCTGTCAAATAAAAGACTGGCTGAAGCTCACTAAAACCACACTTTAATGTTGAGGAGTACTGTTCATATGCYGGTGTTTTAGATTAGTCTGATTTTGTTCACATTTATAGCTGAAACACATCCAGTGTTTGAAAATTTGACATCTTAAATTCCARGCAGAGGAGTGGTCAATTATTTCATTAATGTTGTGAAAAACAAATCTACTGGGATTGATTTACTTCATTTGTGAGCAGGGCTGGGTATCATGGCCAATTTTCTAAATCGATTCGATTTCGATTCATTCAGCTCAGAGTCGATTAATCACGATTCGATTCAATGAAAATGTTTATTGATATAAAATACAATGTCACAATTTTTTTCTCTTCAACATAAACAGGTTTTAAAGGGAAAACTTTTAAATTAAACAGTTTAATATTGAAAGAAAACCGTCACAAGTTTAAAAGGTTTTAAAGTAAATAGGAATTGCAGGTGACAGGATGCATTTTTTAAAAGTAATTAATAATTATTTGATAAATGAGAAGTGATGGGAATAAGGTTGCAGGAGAAGAGGTGGGCTAATATAAATATACTTCTGCCC